ACACACACACACATACATACACACACACACACACATACACAAACAAACACATACACATACAAAACCCCCATTATTAATACGTTTGTATGAACGTATTATGTATGGACGTATTATGCACTTATGTATGGATGTATTTATTAATTGTTGTATGTAAGTATGAGTCAAATATTAAGGCTATGTATATGGTGATGAATATGAAAATGAGTTATTTGACAAGGTGGTTGTGGTGGTGACAACAATGATGATAAAAATCTTGCGTGTATGTAAAATGAACTATTTTTTTTCTAAAATTTCTAAGGAGGTACGCAAAGTTGTTCTTTTCATGGTTTAATTATTAATTTTAAAAACCTCGGAAAGACGAAAATGGTAAGGATCTAATTCATTTGTATTGTGAAGCAATAAGCTCTTTATATAATCAACCACCTACCTACCAACCTACCTACCAACCTACCAACCTACCAACCAACTAACCAGCCAATTTACTAACCAGCCAACCTACCAACCTACCTACCAACCAACCAACCTACCAACCAACTAACCAGCCAATTTACTAACCAGCCAACCTACTAACCAACCTACAAACCAATAAATCAACCAACCAATAAATCAACCAACCAATAAATCAACCAACCAATAAATCAACCAATCAATCAATCAACCAACCTACCAACCAATCATTCAACTAACCAACCAACAACCCTACATACAATCTAACCTACCAACCATCTAACCAACTAGCCAACTAATCAACCAGCCAACCTACCAACCAACCAACAAACCAACCAACCAACCTACCAACAAACCTACAAACCAATCAATCAACCAACCAATCAATCAACCAACCTACCAACCAACCAATCAACTAACCAACAAACCTAACAATCAACCAACCAACCAGCCAGCAAGCCAGCCAGCCAACCAACCCACCAGCACGCACAAGCAAGTTTGGTATCAACAATATGGCACACGTTTTTTTATAATAATAGTTATTATTGTTGTCGTTGTTGTTATTGTTGTTATTGTTGTCAAATAATTTCTGATGTGATTTAATTATTTGATTGTAAATAGCGAATGTCACAGGTTGACAGATGAAATAAATGTTCTGTCTGCTTCAGTTGTTGCCGATATTTTTAATGTCATTCGATTTAACAGTAGTAGCTGGCGGTAAAAGTGTTGCAAGTGCTAGAGCCTGCATTTAAATTCTTAATTTTTTTCAAATAGATCCTAACTTTTCAAATAGAAATTTATATGGT